TTTGGTGATAATATGTAAGACATTTTCTGTTTTTTCAAACCAAGTACCCATCCTTTCCAACAGTTTCGATGTTCTTTGCACGAACATCATATTCAGATGTTCAGCTTCAATCTATTGATACTGGGATAGGAATGATTGCAATAAATGTGTACCGGTATTGGGTTTGAGTTCAGACTGACGGCTCTATTGTTAAGCGACCGACAAATGTTCTATTTTATTAAACCAAGTAACTTGAACTGTCCTTTCTAACAGTTTCGATGGTCTTTATACGAATCATCTTTAGATGTAAGTCTATTGATAGGAGTGACTGCAATAATGTGTAGGCCTACCGGTAGTGAGACTGACGGCTCTATTGTTAAGCGATCAGGCCACCTAAATTGGTGTGCGTTTTGCTCAACAAGAGCCGTCAATCTGAAGATGATGTTCGTGTAAAGGTCAGTTCAAGTCACTTGGTTTGACAAAACAGAAAATTCTCACACCTATATAATAATGTAGCATGATATAGAGGCCTACATAGTTAAGATATATGCCAATGAACGCCCCTCCCCATAACCATGAACAATGCTTTTACTGAGAGGCAAAACCACTATTGTTTCTCAATGACCTATAAACATACATTACCATACACATATGTTTATATTAGGCCCATATATAGTAATAAATACATGTAGGCCTATATAAACAGATACAAACAATGGTTTTGTCACTTTTTCCTGAATATTTTAGGGTGCCTGTAAGTTCGTCGCCGTTTCCCTACATTTATTCCTCTTAAACTCTTTGATGTGGATGTTGGGAGAAGCCGTGTTTTTGATATTTAAAGTAGTGAAGAAGACGCCTAGCAAATTTAACAAATTACGCAACTATCTAATCGTCTGCTATGGAACGCCAGTCGCCATGGTTGCAGTGTTATTTTCGTTTGGCAACGAAACCTACGCTCCAAAATCATCGAAAATGTAGATCTTAACTTCCATTATTTATAATAATTATTATTATTACATTTATATGATCTAACTAGTGTAGGCCTAATAACGTAGGCCTATGTATTTAATTATTATTATTGATCTAAAGTGCAGTAAACCAGTAAAATAAGAAACCAATTGGATTTAATATTTTGATATCAAATTTGCAAATCCTATACCTTAAGTACACTATTATTGGAGTTCACATAATGCAGTAATTTGTTGTAAAATTAATTTTTAAGTCTTGAATTATGAATTATATTTTAGCTGTTGGCTGAGTGATTTAGGGTGCTGGGCAGTAGTCGTACCTGTAATTATAATTGAAATTGTAAGTACCCAAGACCTGGTATCTTTTAATTTTTGAATGTCTTTCTACTTTCACAACCCAAAACAATTAATATATAAATATATTATAAAATATATTTTATAAACGATTAATATATAAATAGGCCTATACTATAAAATATAATATATAATTATTAGATACATAGGCCTACTATATAGGCCTATTGATTGATTGATTGATTATTAAATATTTTCATATATTATTAGTTCAACGTGGTCTCATTGGGTTTCTTGATCCGCATAATCTATCAGCGATCAAGAAAGATACATACAAGATCGGATAACATCCAGAGGCAGCACAATAAAACAAAGTGAGTTAACGCTAGCACTATTGCGTTCACACGTCATCATAGCGTCAACACCTACCATGAAGATGTACCGTAGGTAGCTAGCTAGCTTGGAAGTTAAAAATGCGCACTTCCAAAATCAAACCACCAAACGTCTAAAGTAACCCAACTCGCTAAGCCTCCTAATGAATAAAACTCGGACAATTTTTTTTTATCAATTACATTAACACATCCCGGTGCAGTAACTTTTAAAGTAAAGTGCTTCATACGTCATGACTTCGTTTATATTCAACACTTAATCCGTTCATAGGTCATAGATGCGTTTTATATGTCACAGTGCGTTCACACTATATCAATTCATGTAAGCCTATAATAAAATAATTAGCAGTCAGGCGATATTATAAGCCCAAAATATTTTATCTCCGCTAAAACATTTTATCGACTTTGAAAATAATTATTATGGAAGGTTATGTATTTAAACGACCATCAATTTTTTTCTTACATAAATTGACGAAAAAATACATTTATGTATCATGGTATCTTCTTATTTTGAATTTTTTTCTTTCAAAAACCATTTTATAGGTCAGCCGTTAAGGGGACACTCATGTTGTTACCATTGCTCGGTATAGCATGGGTGACCGGCCCACTACTTACCGCTACTGATTCTATCGTCATAGAATATATATTTGTCATCACAAACTCGCTACAAGGAGTGTTCATCTTCATCGTATATTGTGTAATGGATAACGAGGTATGTAATAACTATAAATACGTGTTACCATGAGCTGGATTCTAGTTTGTAGGTGTATAATAACCCATCTCCCGTAAATTCATAATTATTATTAATATTTGCATGTTTTTACTATTTTATTATACTTCAATTGTCTCGAGGAATCAGTGTCATTGTGTAACACAATGCACAGCAAAATAATATTAATAATTCATATATGTTAGGAAATTTTGTTTAACTAGATTACACAGAAGGGATTTTTTCTAACTTAGGACCCCTGGTGTATTATTATTATTATTTTGTTATCGTTATTATAAATCATAATCATCATAATTATAAATATGAATTATTAGCATTCATTAAGAGTTTTCATTTAAATGAACTTACAAATTCAACAACTGAACAATTACTTGTACAAATGTTGTGGTTCTCCATTAAACGTTATGAATTAAACCTTGAACAAGAATATTTTGCTAACTGTAATCACGATTGGTAAGCCTAATAAATACTGTTTGTTTGCATGGTGTTTCTCAAACAAAGGTTCGCGCAGCAAGTAAACGATGGATAGCGAAGAAACGAAGCGTAGCTTTGCATACGAACCGCTCATCCAATACTCAGCCAAAGGTAAATATCATCAATCAATGGTATTTCATTTGTGGGGAGAAAAACAAACTATAATCATCAACTATCATCACGATCGTCACCATCATTAATCATCATATATCTTCATCATCGTGACCATCAATCACCCTCACCAACCATAAAATAAATGTTCATCATCATCATCATCACTGTCATTATTATTATTATTATTATAACCATCATTAATCTCCAACACAGGTAGCAACTATCGAGACAACTGGGGGAGTGTCGAACAATGTTGTCAGGAGACCACCTATAAAAGCTTGGGCTGAGCGGCGCAACAAGTCGTCTGATTTGTTTGAGGAAGAGAGGGAGACTGCAGCACAAAATTCTCACTCAAATTCTGGACAATGACAAGTGGAATACTCTCAACACAGCACGTCGTATTTGATTGGTCGCACGAGCAGCACAACTCCTCACAAGAGCGGCTCGAACTCCTTGCTGTTTTTTAACGAGCACACCCCGAGATCCGCGGAAAAGGACCAGTCGAATACGCCTACTGTTTGATAAAAGATATACATTTAGCAACCTATCACAACTACGAAGCGGATTTATTCAGAAAACCTGATCACACGAAATCACATTAAGTGTTGACTCAGAAAAACCAGGCAAAACATAATCAGCTGGGGCTTGGATGAAACCCACTACAAGACAGATACAGTATGCATTTACATCACAAATGTTTAGCAAGATGATGCACCTAACAAGAATTTGCAACCACAAACATTTACTTATATTTTGTCATGCCACATTTATTGTAGATCATCTTCCTTCATGTTAATAATATAACAGTGTAGTTTTATATAGAGCCGTATCCATCTAATATAAGATGCTCAGGGCGCTTGATATGTAAACTAGGAACTCTATCAATGACTTTCTCTGCCCCTAAGGGAGGGTCCCTTTGTGTCTGTGCTACCTGGTAATGCGGTACCAGCAACTCTTGTCGTCCACCACAGGGGCTGTCTGTTTCAGTAGACCGGGGTATCCCCCTACTTGTCTTGAATAATGAACTGGGTTCTTTCTAGTGCACACAAGCCATTGTGTACACTGGGCCTACGGTTTACAGTCCTTATCTGTGAAGACTTGTTCTACCCCAGGAACCATAGGCGAGCGTGCCATTCGAATTAGCACTGATATTATGGCTGTAGGTTGCGTTGACCCTGCTAATCGCTCAGCCAGTCGACTCGCTGAATGTTACAAATTTCTATCTTCAATTTTCTCAAATTCATGGCATAGGCCTACAATGCTTGTACGATGGTTGACACAATGCTGTCTGTTGATTGTCGGTCATCATAGAAAACATTGCGTTCTCTATGAAACACCACATTGACCGACAACCACAATATCTGCCTGCCTTAACTACAGTAGTGCAAGTACAATACCTAACACTACACTACAGTACACAATATTCAATAAACAGACAGTTGTAAACAGTATACCAAATTTTACCCATTAAAAATATTTTGTAATATATTTAAAACTGTATATAAATTCTGAGATTGTTTATAAAAAATCTTATATTTACAAAATCATACACAAACTATGTAAAACCAATTATGCATTAAATATAAATATAAAACATATAACTTCAAACGAAAAATGGATAATTTTGTCACAAATGTACTTTGGTATATTAGACTTACATAGCCATAGGTAGGGCGTGTTTATCATCTGCATTAGAAGTATTTTCTCAGACTAATTTGAATATTCTTATTAACTTTTCTCAAGTTAAAAAATAATATTTATATTAGAAAGTATAATACATACTCCAAGTATTACTTGGAGTATGTATTATACTTTCTTATCTGAGATTAATCAGTGGACCTTTCGGTTAATATTTATATTTCTCTTTAAATTAATCCTGATTGAGGTTAAGATTATAGGTAATTGTAATTCTTCAAAAGAAAGATCTGTCACATTGTAGCCTGGTTCTCAGGAGAGCCCTAGTATCCGGATCGGGAGCTAACCGTTAGCGCTAACCGTTAGCACCTGCGTGGATCGGATTTGCAGGATCGCATCGGATCATGCAGGATTGGATCCGGATCCTGCTAATTCAACCCACAAAGCTGGGCACTCACTGCATCGAATGACGGTTCTACAAATCAAACTCCATTCCCAGTGAACGCTAGATGACGCGAAGCTGCATGCTGATTGTCGGTGGCATGTCTGTTTAGATGGTCTTTGAAATGACCCGTTGCGCACATGTCATGCCATTGCGTTCTTCATAGGATCACGTTGGCCGAACAACCATTGGGGTGCAGTGGGTGCCTGCATTTCCTGTTTTGTTATTCTACCAACTGGGCATGACGCCAAGGTAGAATAAACTCTTATATTTTCGTCTATCAGAGATGTTTTGTCAAATTGAATTTTGTGAACAATACTTAATTTACCTTTTTATCAAATTTGAATAAATATACTCATAGAATTAAGTGCAATAATAGTTGCTGTGATCTCGTATCTTGAGATGTACACTGGTGGTTTATTTTGCAGATGAAGACGGGTAGGTATTTTATGACGTAAATAGATGAATCGAATCCATAGAGTATCCACAATCTTTAACAACTCTGTAAAATAACAGGCAGTTTGATTATAAACAGCTGTTAAACTATTAATACATATCATTTAAAATTGACATAAATGCTTTAATCAACTAAAATATGGTAATTCATATGAATACTAACGTTAAAGCTGTGCGTGTGAACGGAGTCGGGCCACAAATGCAGATCAATCTGTTTTTGGTAATTCCCTGCGGATCTTTCAAATGTTCCTCCATGATTTCGCTCCGTATCCTTCCTGTTAACCCCTTCCATGAGTCACAGGCTTCAGATAACACATTAGTAACATTCAACCTATGAGCAAAGATAGAAATTCCAATGTCAAATTTGAGATATCAGCCTATTTGTAAAATTAGTATTAGTATTAGTATATTTCCCCATGTATAAGGCCCTTCTGCATGAATTTAGCCAATTTTTTTTTTTGTTTTTTGTGGGGGCTGGGGGGGGGTGGGGAATGATGTTATTTTTTTCAAACTGCCAGCATGTATTTTAATTTGTAGGACCAATTTTTGAACACTGTATACCAAAGGAATTACAATAATAAAAACCAATGTTTTCACATCAAATTACTGCCATCAATCACCAATAGAACTTATATTTAACACAAATTTGGGTGTAAAGTTATTCAGTAGATTAAACCAAAATAATTGAAAATTTTTACCTTTCATGTATCTTCATTAAACTATCCAGTTCTTGTTTCCATAAAATATCTTCTTGTGTTTTGTTGAAGAAAAATAACTTAATTTTCCTGAAAAAATACAGTATAATTATTATTAATATTTTATTATCATTTTTACTATTTTTATTATTTATTTCCGACCCTGACTCAAAATGTTACTAAGCTAAGGCAAAACAAAAATTTTAAAAAATATTTATTTTGTTTTTATTGGAGAATGAAGTAAGGTCGATTTCAAAATGTCGGGTTTTTGAACTTTGCAGAATATATACATGCCAGAAATGATTTATTCTTATCCTGTTATTGGCAAATTATACCTCCATGGCCGAATCACGGTGACTGAAGCAAAACAATCAATAATCAACATATTACCTTGTGGAAGGAAAGATTAAACTGTGGTTGATTAACCTGACCATCGGTGTGAATCCACTTCCAGCTGCAAGCAATACCAGTTCTTGACACGACTGTAACCTTGGCTCCGAGAACGAGCCTTCAAAGTCACTTATTTCAATACAATCACCTGTAAGGTCCAATAAATATTATTAATTATAATCCTTTGAAGAACTAATATCATATATATCATATGATGTCATTCATTTTGTCGATAAAAACATTAAGAATCTATGAGGTACTGCATACCACTAATGAAAGATGCACTTTGGGAGTACAAAGAATTATCGACAGGAAAGTTGAACTTGGGGTTACAAAAGATTGTATTAAATAAAATAATTGCTGTTAATCATTACACTAAAACCTTCAGGACTATTGTTGCTGTGTCTGGTCTTAATGTAGTATTCAAACCACTAATTGTCTTAAAGTCTTTATGAATAAGCGAGGTAACATTTTACTTACAATTGTTCCCTTGATTGGAGAAAACTCAATGTAAGATCTGTCTCTTATACACATCTAGATGTGTATAAGAGACAGGGGTACTACGGTAGGTCTCTAATTTTTTAAATTTTAAAG